TTCCAAGAAATCTGTCCTCCAGTTTTGCTGAGTGAAACACTAATAGTTAGTTTATCTGTGTTTTTGCAGCACATCGTTACATTCCTAGCTTATTAATCAAGATTGCTAGCTTAAGCTCCTCTGAATGTTGCCAGAATGGGATTTCAAAACCAGTGCCTATCACGTGTCAGGAGGCTACATCCATCTCGTATATAAAGTTTGTGGTGTATAAGATGCTTTGACTTCAAATGATACTTGGGCATTATGAGCATGGTAACATCTGCTAACTAGCATGATGAGAGCAAAAATCCCTGCACAACTAAGCCAGAGGAGTTACAAATGATTTTAAAGGTGACGTAAATATGCAGATCCAACCTTCAAATGGATAATTGAGTCCTTTGATGTACTTTTGGCACGAGGTGAAAACTCAGGGCAGCATAAATGCATTCGGATCCCTCTTTAGGGGAATATCCAGTGCAATGCATTTGGTAGCAGTGAGCAGAAAAACCTATTACCTTACGTACAGCCATGTAGCTCATTAGATGAAAGATGAAAAGAGGAATCTAAATGTTTTTTTTTTCCCTGAATACTGTACAGCTCACAGTGGAGTGAAGCCTAAAAATAAATTCCTAAATACTCAGTCATAATGTTTGTATTACTGGTGCATGTTAGTCAAATGAAGCAAACATGAATTTTTGTATGTTACATAAATTTGTGGTTTGTCTTGTTGTAGCCTGTATCCATTCATCTGCTTTACAGCGTATAATGCGTGTATAATGCATCGGATAGCAGCAAACATAGCACAGAGATTAATGGTTACGTTGACGGTTTTGTTCTTGCGCCAGTTTTAAAATGTATACGCTGAGACGTCTCCACGGCGAGACAAACAAAAGCCGTAATTGCTTTACCTCTGAGGCTAACATCGGAGCAGGCATCCTACAATTTGCTAAACAAACTCCATCCCTTTGGCCTGTAAACGATTTCCTATTATAAACACATGTTGGAGATGAATCACTCTTTAGTTCAACTCCGAGAGAGGACATTTCAGACAAGTTCCCCCTCCTGTTTTCCATTTGGCTGTTTAATTGTCTCAGCGCTGTCAACAGACTATCAAGGTAATTAGCCATGACTGCACAACAACAAAATCAGACAGACAGGAATGAACTGCAGCCTCTGAACATGATACTTACAGAGGGAACGGGTGGGAATGCGGGTGCACGTATGCCCTCACGCATCCGTGCATGGATGTGCAACTGCCACACGAAGCCTCTCGTGCACAGTCATTACCGTGCCCTGAGTACATAGTTCCATGCCACACATTATATTTCCTCCACCAACCATAACCCTCCACCCACCTCCTCCTTAATCCTTTTACCTCTTACAACTCTCTCTCACTCTCTCTCTGACATACACACACAGTTACAAAACCAAAACCTCATTTCCTCTGTGCCTCAAGCTATAGGAGCAGTGTTAATTGTGCGAAGGTGGGGAGTGAGCATGGGTGCGCGTGTGCTTATATATATATATATATATGTGTGTGTGTGCGTATGTTAGTCTTCAGGAACATGAGCTTTATAGGTGTGCGCGGGCCTTTGCAACTGTATGCGTGGCTATATGTGTGAGTATGTGTGCGTATATGTGAGATCATTTATTTTAAGTGTGTAGGCAGTCTCTCCTATGCCAGTCTGGGCGTAGCTCCAGGGTTTCCTGCACCACCTGGGCATCTGCGAGTCCTAGTGCCTGTCACTGGGTACCGTCCCAGCTGGAGTGTGTGTTTCGCTGCGTGTACGGGCTTGTGTTTGTGCGTGTCAGCAGAGGATCCTGCCAGAAGCAAACACCATTGTCTTATCCTCTTTGAGCCACGGGGGCTCATACGCAAACACACACAAACTCTCAGACTGTACATCTGGTTCCGACCCCCGTCCTCTTCTCCAGTGGATTCTTCCTTTTTGGGAAAAAACCAGAAAAACATTATCAATAAAAAAAAGACAAAAGGAATTAAGAAGTGTTGGCAAAGAGGGGAGAAGGTGGAGGGGGGTTCGTTTAAATAGCCACCATTAAGTCGCCAATGAAGCTCTTTGTGCCAGCTTGCTTGGACTGTACATACACCATTAGTTGTACAGGCCGTGGTAGACTTAAAAGTACCCCTGACTTAAAGGTCATCTACCTCCATCGAGCAGAGCTAATATTAAATTAGGTCCGCAGCAGTATGTGAGTTTGAAAAGAAGAAGAAAAAAAGCATTCTGGAGAGACAGAGGAAGATATTATATTGACTTTGGAGAGGCTGCTGGGGTTTTTTTGCTCCGCTTGAAACACAACTGAATTTAGAGCTTTGATTTATGTTTTTCAGAGAACATTTCAGTTTTAAAAAATGCAACAATAAAGGATTTCAGGACTGTAAAGCCCTGCAAAAGCCTGGTTAATCCACTATTACAGCTGCAGAAAAATGTAATGGCATATTTTGGCTGAAATACAATCTATTTTGATGGATTTACTGTGATCTGTAATATTGTAAAAATCTACAAAGCACTGAAGCTTTTTTTGTTTTTGGGAAGGTGGGGGCATATTAGTTTGAAACTGTGTGGGTTTTTTTTTTTGTCCTTGTGATTCTAAACTAAAGGTTGTTCATTATCTCTCCTTTTATTTACCATTCTGTTACTGGGAGTAGGTAATAAAGTTAAGAGATGATAGAGGTAATTGGCAGTTAAGTTAACGTTTAAAATAAATAACGGAGACAATAAAGGCGACACACTACAGAGCGCCAACGCTGCTGTCAGCCGGCTCAGGTAATGCTAACGGCGATGAAAATTAATGACAACAACAAAGGGGGCAGAAGAGAAATAAAAGTGCAATAAAAGAATGTCCTTGATCGTCTCTGTTGGTGAAATTGCCCTCAAACTGATGCATTTTCTCTGGGTGATTACTGGAAAGTGTGTCAAAGCTTCGGCTGTGAAAACAATTTTAGGAGCATTCACGCAGGGGTCAGCAGATCGCTGTGTACCGAAACACTTCAGGGTTGAAACAACACACCCAGCCCTGATACAATAATGCTTCTGGCCTCAGGCAGCCCCCTCCCACCCCACCGCAGCCCAACACACACACAGACATAAACACACACAAACATACAATCCTGTGTTCTCTGCCTCCTGATGCCCCAAGGTTGAAACGGTAAACCTAATCACCAGGTACTCACTGGAGGCAACACTTCTGCACTCAGCCAGCTAATCTCTCCACACTTTTCTTTCTTGTGTGTGTGTGTGTGTGTGTGTGTGTGTGTGTGTCAGAGGTGGAAAGAGTACTCAAAATTTGTACTCAAGTACAAGTACTGTTACACTGGTTAAATTGTACTCAATTACAAGTAAAAGTACTGGTGTTAAAAAAAATACTTGAGTAAAAGTACAAAGTACTGTTCTCAAAAACTACTCAGAGTATTAATTACTTTTTAACAGACTGATGTTTTATTCTGTTAATAGCAGGCATTCAACTCGATTCACCAGTATAAATATTTATGTTCAAAGCACATTTTTCAGATGAACAAGGTATAGAAAGGTAACTTGTTTTGTAAATAAATGTAGATATAAAAGGAGGAATTTTGTTTGTTAAAACAATGACAAAAATGTTTCTGAACATGCGTAGAACCATTTAAACTTTTCCCCATACACTGAACAACAGGCAGGTAAGTGTCTTAAAGTCTTAGCATTTCTTTCACACTTTACTTTCTGAACCTTTTGTTCAGTTTCAGCAAGAGCTGGTTTTCTAAATTAACAGAGGCAATCCAACTTCGTTTGGCAGTGAAGAGTAGACCAGCACAGCTAAAAAGTCGTTCACACGCAGCAGAAGCAGGCAGAGCTGTGTTTAGTTTAAGAGAGAGGTTTTTGATACCTGAGAAGGAGTGCAGCAGCTCCATGGTGTCTGTGGCACAAGCAAGATAACCATCAAGCTCAACTGCACTTTGCAGCCTTCTGGAGATTGGTCTGGAGAAGAATTCATCTTCATCAGATGACTCTCTTTGCTGATCCTCACTCTCATGCGCTGTCGTTTCAAGATGTTGTTTGATGTATGTCAAGGCTGTAATTGCAAGTAGATAACACAATTTTGTTATTTAAATTTCAGTGATTATTCCTGAACACAAATTTAAAATCGGCAAATTCTCAAAAAGGATTGTTTAGTATTCGGGACAGACCATCAATAACTTACAATGTATTAGGTGAAATACTCACTTAAGCATGTGTTCAAATGTAAAAATACACAAAAATGGGATCACATGAATCCTTACCAGCCTCTGTTACATCTGCTCTGTCAGTCCAGGAAGTCTTGAACTTGGGTAAGAGGACTGCAGCTGCAGCCAACTCTGGATCCTCCATCATCGCTCCAAAATGCTTTTGAAGGCCATTTTGCAGGGCTCTGATGAGTGGCACGCATGTCTTGCTTGATGTCTCCAGCCTGCTAAGTTTGAACAGTAGTTGTTGGATTACTGGCAGGAGCCATCCCATAAAGGAAGTGGACTCAAACTGAAGGATGTTTGAAGCTTTCACCAGTGGCTTCATGGTGGTACAGTACTCCCTAAGGAATGCAACTTCTGCAGGACTCAACCTGTAAGACACAACAACAAAACCCACCATGACTATAATAGGGATCTTCTGATTTAATATTAAGAGTCTGCTCACGTTTTTAACCATCCATTAAGGAAAATTCACAAAATTTGAAACCATATTGGTAGGTGTCCAATTTTACTCACATTTTCACCTTGAACTCCTCACAAATACTCCTGATGGCATCTTCCCCCTTCTCATCAATGATGCGTATTATCCTTTCAATGGCAAGGTAGGTTGAATTCCATCGTGTTGCATTGGGACGAATGATCTGTAGCTCACACTTGTCCTCTACCACTTCATTAGCCAAATGAGACCGGCCAGTTTTGTTCCAAATGGCCTGGCATTTTGCAAAGGTTGCACGGGAGAGCCTCTTGTAGGTGTCATTCATGCTCTCTGCTAGGGCAGCATCAGTTGTTGCCACAAGGTTTAGCAGGTGACATGCACATCGCTGATGAGGCGGAAGTTGATACTCCAAACCAGAGTCTTCATCAAGATTGCACTTGCCTCATGGTAGTCCCTATGGTCAGTCAGGTCAATAGTTTCTGGGTCTGCTTCATCTTCAGCTTCATCTGCATCATTTTGTGCCCCAAACATGTGGAAGGCCTTGACAAAGTTGGATCCACTATCAGTTGTGGTTCTTACAACTTTGCCTCTAATCTTGTATTGGCAATGGATATCATCAAGCGCACCAGCAAGCATGTCAAATGTGTGAGACCCTCTCAATCTTTTGCATGCTAGTGCTGCAGATCTTCTTTCCAGGGACGCTTCCTCTATCCAATGGCATGTGACTCCAAGGTAACTTTTCTGATGAGCTGACCAACAATCAGTAGTGGTAGCAACAAATTTGACTTTATCCAATGCTGCAACCAAAGTCATCTTCATGTGATCAGCAGCTTCACAGATTCTGGCACGGACAGTGGGTCTGGAGATGACTTTGGCTTGAGGTTGTAATGTGGTAACCAATTCTTTGAAAGATGGCTGTTCTACCACTGCAAATGGCTGTAGACCCTCACATATGAAATTGATGACAAGCTTGTCAACAGTTGCTTGTGGAACATGTTTGTTTGCAGCTCTCAACATCAGGTCTGGTAACTTGGCTTGTGTATTTGCTGAGAGCTTGTTTGGTGTGGCTGTGGTCTTTCGCTGTCGAGATGTTGATGCCACAGTGATATTGTACTGCTCAGTCTTCGATGGATGTTTCCTCTGTAGAGATAAATATTATCATACGTCAGGTTCATACGTTACTTCATAACATCACTGTGATTAACACTAAAAGAAAACACATTTTTAAAACATTATTCAACTAGACTTGAGCTAATCTTTGATTGTTGAGCATAGTATAAAAGAGTGGTGAATTGGTCAAATTTTGCAGATATATTGCTGTATTTATTCACAAGTGTAAACCAATTTTGAACGATCATTGCAAAAAACATGAATTTCTGTATACATTCTAAGTTCTGTAATATGTATACTATCTGTAAAAAGAGTATCGACCAATGTATCAGTATCTAAATTAACTCCTTTTTATCAGTATCACCCTAAAGTTTTCAGTATTAGTCAGGTCCTAAAAATACTAAGAGAGCAAAATATGTGTATCTAGCAAATCTAATTTAAGAAAAGGGATCACATACACAAAAATGCTGCCCATACAGCTAACAAATAAAACCAATCCACATTATGTTCTTTAAAAAAAGATATCATATTGGGAAACATATAACCCTACTGATTAAGAGCCATGTCACTATGATAGACCTATATCAGGCCAATGATACTGATCAACTGATCCATCAATCGGGCTCTGGTACATGTCAGCTGAGAGCTGGAAGATTAATTTGAGATGCAGCTCAGCACTGTGTTCAAGTTTGTTTGTTTTTTTAAATAGGCCAGCTGATTGTAGGCCTGTGAGTTTTAAATGACTACAAGTTTAATTTATTGTAATGACGGTGGTTATCCAAATAATAAGCTAAAACATTCCTACGAATTGTAGCTCAGTTATGCATGCACACACGCACATTAGCTAGCTCCGTCTTATTTTAATATCAGGCTAACCAATGGCGGTGACAATATCTTAGCCAAACTAGTAACCTCACTAGCTTCCGGCGCCCCCCGTGTGCGGCAGCCTGTTACAGCAGCTCTGCGCATTCTGAGTTTCTTTCTTTCTTATCTTTTCTTCTCGTAATTTTTTATAACTAACGTATCAGTAATTAACAAATTTCCCACGTGTGGGACTAATAAAGGTTATCTTATCTTATCTTAACACACATGAAAAATAAGAAAGCAATATCATACACGTATAGTTGTAAAACCTCTTACCTCAATGTGTTTTTTTAGATTAGATGCTGAAGTCTTGTAAGCTGAAATGACTGTAGAGGTCAAACAAAGTTTGCACTGCATCTGGACGCTGTCTCCTTTTCTTCTTCCTCTGTACACGAAAAATTCCTCCAGGTATAGCCACGGGCACGCGTCCTCCGTCTTTTCTACGTCGTTTTCATGGTTGACAGTGTTGTCCTCTGTCTCCATTTTGGCTTCTTTGTCTCCAAATCTTTCGTCTATAAAGTAGTTTATACTCCACCATTTAGCACCTCCAGACACCTGTGCCTGCTGCTGCAGCGGAGTTTATTCTTTGCTTACGTCTTAAATTGGCGCGGTTGCGATTGCACGGCCTTATTGGCTGCAAAAATGCAGACGAAAGGTTTGAATATTAATTCAAATTGTGGGCGTACTCAGTAGTGACTTTTGATTTTATAAGTAGCGAAGTAGATTACATGGTGTAAGTTGTACTCAAGTATGAGTAAAATTACACACTTGAAAAATTACTCGTAAAAGTACAAGTACCCAAAAAATGTACTTAATTACAGTAACGTGAGTATTTGTAATTCGTTACTTCCACCCCTGGTGTGTGTGTGTGTGTGTGTGTGTGTGTGTGTGTGTGTGTGTTTGTGTGGATCTTTGCATATAAGCAGATGCCCTGCACCTTTGTATGCACAGTAGGGTTGCATGTGTTTTTCATTTCTTTTTCAACTCCCACTCTTGTGTGACGATATTAATCCTGTGGTGTAGAGCAGCATCAAAGTAAACTGCCAGAGTGGGTGTTAGTGCATGTGTTTTTCCTGTGGGTAAAACTTGCAGTGTTTGTCTCTGTTTACGGCGCGCATCTCTGTTTATACGGTACATAAGTGCCGGGCTGGAGTTGAGCACAGGCCAATCTGAGATGTGCCCAATGTGCCCCGGGATGTTATCCGCATTTTTAAACAGAAAACCATTAATCATAAAATAATCATTGTCCAACCGTTAAAGCCATTCTTTTGCTAAATGTTGTTATCAGAGCAAACGGTGCGGCATGTTGATGTGAAATTTACATATCTGATGAAGATGAAAATAATATGCACATGTTTGCGCAGTACATGATAAAGTAAAGCTAAAAAAAATATTAAAAATGACAAAAACTGATTTCACTCCATTAATCAAACTTTTACTAACAGGGCCGCTGCTGTTTTACAAACTCATTAAGTGTACGGCTGGCTTTGAGTGTGACAGCTCACCTGTCTGTGGTTTAGGAGTGTGGTTTACCAGTACTGTCTCCTGTAGTGTGTTGGGAATAATTAATAGATCGTCTTGTTATTTTAGCTGCTTTGCCACAGTGGATCATCCATCTCACCCTATCCGATCCGTACCATCCTCCTTTGTCTCTTTTATCCAGCTTTACTACATCCACGAGTCTTCTCTGAAAACTTCCTGTTGTCCTCCAGCCTGGCAGCTCCATCTTCAACACCCTTTGTCCAGTATACCCACTATCCCTGCCCTAACTTGTCTCTCAAAATTAGTCTCCAAACCGCTCAACTGGAGCTGTACCTCTGATGCACTCAATGCATTCCCCCCCAAAATTGAGATTTTGTGTAAAATGAAAACCATATCAAATGTCTAAATGCAGATGGTTCACAATTAAATCATAAATATTAGTTCATTTTCAATTTGATGGCAGCAATAAGTCTCAAAAAAGTTGGGATGGGTGCAACAAAAGGCTGGAAACAGAAACAGGAAGGTTGCCTGTTCGAGCCCCGGCTCGGGACAGTCTCGGTCGTTGTGTCCTTGGGCGAGACACTTCACCTCCCGCCTACTGGTGAGGGCCAGAGGGGCCGATGGCGCGATATGGCAGCCTCGCTTCTGTCAGTCTGCCCCAGGGCAGCGGTGGCTACAACTGTAGCTTGCCTGAGAGTGAATGAATAATTGAATTGTACAGCGCTTTGACGGCCTCGAAAGGCTCTATATAAATGCAATCCATTATTATTATTAGAATATTGTTCCTCAGTGTAAAACTGGTAACACTTTGAATCATAACCATCAATAATAATAAAAATAATCAGATTACATCCTTTTTTCTCCACCGAGACGATCTTAAACTGTGTACTGCATCTATTCCAACAGCATGTCTTTATAATACAACACTGTGGGTGAAAAACTGGCCTGTGTGCAGTTCAGACCTTTCGCTGTCTGAAAACATTTGGTGCATGATGGAAGGCCCAGGACTGTTGAACAACACAGCGATACAGTGGTTAGCACTGTTGCCTCACAGCTAAAAGGTCCTGGGTTCATCTCCGCCTTTTAGCTGGGGTGCTTCTGTGTTTAGTTTGCATGTCCTCTCCAGATCCAATGGCTTTCTCACAAAAAGGTTAATTGGTGTTTCTAAATTGTCCATAGGTGTCGGTGGTTATTAGTCTGGTGACCTTTCCAGGTTGTACCCTACCTCTTGCCCTATGGTAGCTGGCACAGGCTACAGCAACTGTAAGTGGACGAGAATGGATGGAGATGTGAAAATCATCTGTTTTTATTTAGATTTTAAAAAACCTCCCAACCTTTTTGGGATTACACTTGTAGATTAAGCCACAGCTAATATGATAAATGCATAAATATACCCAAATTTCTCATTTGGGGGACACTCATATGGATCATGCTGTTTTAAGTAAACCCAAGAAGCTGTAGGTATTTAATAGATTCAGGAGAAAGTCTCAGACAGAGAAATGTATAGGGAACAAACAGAACTTTAGTGCTTTTGATTGATTTTGTTTTACTAAACCTGCATTAGGTAAGTCTAATTAATAACCCCTTCGAGACAGGCGTCCCCTTCCCCTCTGTTTAGACAGACGTTGGGTTCAATATGTGAAAAAAAAGACCTTTGATTAAGACTTTCAGACTTGCCTATTGTTCTAATAAACGTTGGTCTAGTAAACTTTACTTTATTGGGAGATTTGTTTGGATGTAAGAGTGAAGGTGAAACTATACACAGAGGTGTGCTTTTTGCAACCCTGTTAACAACACTGCCTTCTGAAGAGTTTTTCACTCTTGTCCCATCCACTCTTTCTACGAATTTCTCTTTAGCATGACATTTATTCAGGAGTTATAAAGTAGCATCCCATGGTTGAAACAGTGCTGGTAGGGTGTGAATAATGACATCTTTGGCCATTAAAATGTCCTGAACACGTCCAGCTAACTGCATAAATATATGTTTTACAGTGCATGCGCAATGTAAATGCTTCAATTGCCTGTCCTAATGTGTGCATAAAGTATAGGCTCTGGTGGCAAATCTTTAAGTATATGCCTGTGCAGCAATATAAATACATGTGTGTGAAAGTGCAGCGTGTGTTATGTGTGTATGAGCATGTGTAATATCTTTGGGGATTCAGCAGGGATCCCGCGAGGCTGATTAGCGGACCCTACAAAATGTCATTAGGATGTAATGAAAAAGCAGCCCTGGTGCTAATGCATAATAAAGTGAATGGGCTGTGACATTACCGCAGCGTCCAGACCACGCCTGTTGGCACATCAGCACTTCATTGGTTTGCTGGCGAACGTGTGCGCAGGAAGCCCACATCAAATATCTGAGGAAAAGATGACGGAAACAGAGTGAGCGCTGACAGCACGCCAACATTAGCGTGAGAGAGAGAAAGAAAACGAGAGAGAAGGGAAGGGCTGAGTCGGGCCTTCACACTACAGCCACACTAATGTGATTTTTTGTAAAGTCTCCAGTCATATTACCGGGCTTGAAGATTCATATGTGACCATGTCAATGCAGGTACACACTGGCGGAGGTTTGGTGGCTCAGTTGAACTGTAGAATTTACCACACAGCTGCTGTTATACACGGAAAACCTGCAATTCTTTAGTCTATTCAAGACTCAGTCTTTGTTTTGCTCAGGAACACTGCAGTGAAGGACACACAGAGTCTGATAAGATCAAATCCAGACTAAAACACAACCAGTTTTCCAGCTAAACAGGGTCAGCGGCATATCCAGAATTCCCAGCTAGTGTGAGCTTTTAATGCAAACCTATGTTGAATCAACTTAGGGTTTTTCAACTGAAAACTTGAATCTGCTAAAAGGTTTGTGCGTTCACCTTTGCCTTTATTCGTGTGCGTGTGTACGTGCAGCTGTGCTCGGATATGCGTCTGTGTCTCGACCTCATGGCTGAGCCACGTTTTCCACGAGTGATATCAGTAGCAGAGCCAAAGAAAGTGCTTTGGTTCAGTGGTTGATACAGTAATCACATAGAGGGAGAAGTAATAACTGTTGAATATGGCACCGTTTAACTACTGCGGCCTTGACTTCACTATTGACTGCATTAGAAGTGTTGCGTTTAGCTTCGTTGTGCTCTTGCGCGTGTGTGTGTGTGTATGTGTATGTGTATACGTTCGTGTGTGTTACGGACTTATGAGCCGTTCTGTGGAGAGCTGTGAGTAGTTACTTATTGTGGCAGCTGTTAAATGTGAGAAGTGCATGAAAAAATATCCCCATCGCACGTTAAACGGCTGTCTGTCTTCCTTTTCCTTGACGGAGCCCCCAGTGAAGGGCAAACGAGGATGCGTTGGAATTCACCCCCCCTTCTCCCTTTTTTCTGTCACAGCGACATCTCTCTCTTTCTAAGTCCCAGAATGATTGAATATTTACTCTCATTTAATGTTACTGTCCAAAAGACAACAGGCAGCCGAGACACATATACACAAACTCGCGAATCTTCACACACGCACACACACACACGCAGTCTAGTCTACCCATTTAATTAAGCACTCTATGAATAATTCAGTTTGAGCCTCTGGGCTGAAGATAATTATAACGATCAGGATAATAATGTTTATTTTGCTTTTTATTGTATTAAGACATCAATATCTCTGCAGTGCAGTGTGGACAGTTTGCAGCTACACTTCTAATGCCTGAAGCACAACCTCTAATATCCGAGTGGCAGAGTGTCTGTCTTTGCGCGTGTGTAAACTTTGTGCGCGTGCGCCTGTGTGCGTGCTTGACGCAGAAGGTGGTGCTTGAATATATGAGCGTGATTCTGAAGCTGTTAGAATTTGCTCTCCTTTCAGCAGGACACAGAGGCGAATGCAGATGCCTTTTACATTTGGTTTCATGAGTGCAACTTTGATTGGTGTCAATAGTCCCGAAGGTCACGGGTACAGTCCTGGCGCGACGCAACCTTGAAAGCCACGACTGTTCTCATTCCCGGCAGAAGTATCAGGACCCATAA